GTAACTGCAAGAGCAATATTTACTTTAATGGTCTAATTCACCCCAGAACTAGTTGTATCATTTCAGTAAGCCTTGCTGCAGCTCATTTCTTTTTGAGGACACACAGGTTAAAAGCACTAATACTACCTTCAGCCTAATGTGGGTTTCAATACACAGAATAAGCCTCCAAAAATAGCAGTGAAATGCCCACTCACACTGGCAGGAAAAGTGGGTGTATTAATGGAGTTTGTAAAGGCAGTGAATAGACGGTGATTACGTACGGGGCGAAAGAGAGGAAGAAACATGTAAATTCCAGCTTTCTCTCATCAGATTTGTGCAACAGCTTCTACATAATTGCTGGGAAAAAATAGAAATGACAACACTAAGCAGGATATTTAAGTCTTGCATATTATACATGGAAATCTCTATTTTCCTTAAATGAAGTGAAAACAAAATGAAAGGAAAAGATTCCCTTCAAAGAACTTTGTTTGTAGTAGCTTAGTTTCAGGATGAAAATTAAATGAGCACTTGTTAGCCCAGCGCTAAGAACGAATTTCTCTCTCGAATATTAGCCGTGTCTTGCGAGGAGAGGCCTTGGGCGCAGCTGGCCGGACCCTCCGCAGATTCGGGCGCCCCTTTCGCGAGGGCCTCCGGAGCGGAGCCGTCGTCCCCGCGGCCGGACCCGCACCCGGCTGCAGGGACCGGGGAGCCCCCGTCCTGCGGCTCCCGGGGCCGGACCAGGTCGGCCCCGCGCCAGCCCCAACTGCAATTCACAACCACGAGAGACCATAATGCAAAACTGCCACGGGCAAAGTCAATCGCTCCCAGGGGCCTCGCACATCTGAGCTCTTGTGCACCAAGAAATGGTGATAATGCACATTAATGCTCCGGGGCAGACCATGCCAGTTCAAGGATATTTGTGAAAATACAACTTCAGTTCACCATAGGCTAAGAGTAAACTAGATGAAATGGCACCCAGGCTCTCCGGCTCACCTGTTCATAGTGCTACATTGCATACACCCCATCTCTCTCTTGTGAGAGGACTGTAGCAAAGAGTCTTCCTAAAACGAGGAGGAGTTTGACGCATTTCACTGGAGTGGAAATGGAGGAAGAGTAAAGCCAGGCCAGAGACCTAAGAAAAAAGCCCGAGTGTCTCCCAAAGCCTCTGCAGAGGCAGTTCACAATCAGGTGCTCCTCCGTCCACCCGCTGCCACAAACACAAAAAGCATGGACAGGATTCTCCAAAAATAACATATTTGAAAACATGATTTACAAATTGCAGGTAGCTCAGGGACAATTTCTAAAGACTCTACGGAAAGTAACTTAAAAAAAGCAGACTTGTCAAGAAGCCTAAGTTTGCTAAAGAAGAGTCAAAACCTATGCTGCAAAACACTTAGCTGTTTGCAAATCACACTGAGATCCGATGCTGTAGACTCAGGAAACACTGTCTAGGTCAGTTTTTGTCAGATCTTTTCTGCTACAGAAAAATCCCCAATTTTACCACACTGAATATTTGATTTAGGCTAAAAAGAGAGAAGGAAACTTTGGTACCAAATAACGGGTCCAGCCCAATCATTAACAGCCTAGGCAGAGAAGAGAGGTGGGATGAGCCAGCTGCAGGTCATAAATGCGATGGAGGACTGGGGTTTTGCTTTGTACAAACTGTCTTTAAATTAAATCTATTTGAAGGGAAAATAAAAAAGCCTCAGAAGGAAACATAGAGCCATATGAAGATGGAAGAGCAGCTAGAGAAATTTACCGTAAAAGAAAGCACCCACCTGGCACTGTTAGGTAAGCCTGAGAGTGTCACTGTTGGCATAAGAAACATATAAGCACATCCTTGTCTTCCAGCTCTCTTATCGCTGCGGAGAATCTTCCTGCAATCCTCAGAATAGCAGCGAATCGGGAGCTGCTCAGGCACGGAAGCCACGGGCAGACAGACTTCCACTGCCTCGACTGAAAATTAACTGGGAAGTTTCCAAGGCCAGTAAACGTGCAAGGTGGGCTGCTAAAACGCAGTCCCACCTTCAAACCTAAAGCTAAAACACGGGCCCACCCTCGCTTCTGAGCCCCCGGAGCAGTTTCAGTTTCGCTGGCAGCCGCAGCAATGGCACACGTACCTCGCCACGCTGCGCCGCCGTCCGCACGCTCCGCTCCATCGTACGCAGGGACGAGAACCCCGGGAGCAGCAGCTGCCGCTCGGAGCAGGCGCCCGCGCGCCGGGAGAAGCTGCGGACGAGGCAGCGCCGAGACACCTCGGCCGCGACGCGCTCGTGGAGATGCCACCGCGAGCAGGAGGCGACGCAGGAGCACTGAGCGACAACCCGGAGCGCCCTTCTCCCCAAACGCAGCCGTAGCGCTCCGTTTAAGGCTGGTATTCTTCTGGTCTTAGACTTGGATTGCTCTTGGTCTCACCTTAGCAGCGCTTACAAACATAGAGCACAAAGTTGAAAGCAGGAGCTAGTTCCCACACATTTATCTACACGCAGTCCACCAAGTAAAGCACAAAGATGGGGAATTGTCTGGTTTAAGCATAGATTTGTTTCTACATCCCTGAAATTCACTTCAACGTCTCTCAGGAAAGCTGCACTGGGATCTAACATCTCACTACCCCTCACGTACGAAGCTGGCAGTGAGTGGTGGGGAAGATCACTTCAAGCAAGCACTGCACGTAGACAGCAGTA